TTCTTCAAACCTTCCCTCTGCCCCTCCCCCTCAAACATAGAGTCTCCACAACAATGAAGAATCAAACTTATTCAAGTGGGGAGAAGACAGAGCCAAGAGATAATTTAAGCAACTTCCTTACATACAGTTAGAAACAGAGAGTCTGGGCCTTGATGATACAGGTTAATTAAGAAAAAGTAGATGTTTTGAGTAAGAGTCTTTTTAAGAGTGAAGAGTTTCAGATTAATTCTAACTTGCCCTTGTTCTAACAACATAATAATGTTATGAATTGGGTGTTATGGGTTAAATTAAAACCTATTGAGATAGATAGGTGTGAATTTACCCTTCAATTTATATTACTGAAGCTTAAGTCCCTCCCTGCTCAACAAAAACAAAAGATGTACATGAATCTGCCAAGAGCTTTTGGCTGAATATTACTTTTTGTATGTTTGTGTGTGTGTCAGAGATAGATAGATAGATAGAGAGAGAGAGAGAGAGAGAGAGAGAGAGAGAGATCTTGCAGAAACTGAGGTCATGCAAGAGCAGATAGAATGAAGAAGGCAGTTTGATGGATCAGCTTAAAGCAGCGGGTTGAACCTATGAGAAACCATTTTTGGATCAGGGTGCAGGCTAAAATAGTGCTCTTGGTGCAGGGAGCAAAACAAGTTATTTCCTGCTATTTGATTCTGCATTTGGAGACTCAGGACTTTATACAATTATCATGGGTGATGGGTAGAGCTTCAGTTCTGGGAAGCTAGCTCCCAGCTCCACTCCTTCTGTTTATGGGTCTGCCTTCATGGCTAGAGCCAGGGGCCCCCTCCTTCTGCCTGGAGTAGCTCTAATTCCCTTCCCTCAGCTGGAGGAGCCCGGGGCCAGTGGGAATGCCCCTCTCTACCCTAGCCATTCTGTGGGAAAAACATTTTTTCCTTCTCTTCTAGGAGAAGAACCTGAGGTTTTGATATGCATCATGCAGGTCCAGAGTTGTTGAGGAGGTGCTATGTGTTACTCACCTTCCTGGGTTCATTAGGAATCTTGCCAGAATTCACTGGGCCTTTCACTGCCATGCTATTCATAGGTTTCTTTCTTGGTCTTCTGTGCACCTGAGCACCCTGGATATGATTTCAGCTACAGTGCTTTAATATCCAAACAAAGATTTTGAAAGGACACCAGATGGAAGTTTATCTAGGAAAGGTTTTTAGGACAACATAATTCAAATTGTTATATTTAAAATATAAAATCCAAAGAGGTGGACAAGGCAACAACAGGACAATTTTAGGTAGCTGTTATTTAGGATCACATGCTTCCCTATCCATGCATCACAGAAGAGAACAGTACAGATTCCACATCACCTTCCAGACTCCTTTTTTTCAACAGAGTATTTGAAAGGCAGCTAAATATGTTTCTTTACCAAATAGCTCTTTTCCCACAGTTGCCACAATCCCTGGCCATAAGAAGGTGGGCACAGCAAATTTAACTTCCCACAGCCCATCCGTTAACAGACTGTTTAAAGTACAGTTAGTAGTAGGAATTCCACTCCCTGCTTTGACTTTTCGATACTATAGATGTGGCATATGCATTGGGAAAAGGAGATGGAGGCAGGTATATCAAACAGAAATATCAGGAACCCTCGATGGGACTTGGAACTCAGTAGCAAGGTATTAAAAGGCCAGACATCTACTGGTTTCTCTTATACTGATCCCAGCATTTACACTTTTGTTGACCAGTGCCTCCTGCCCTATTTATTCCATTATTGTCCCTCCCTCCAGGAGGGGAAGTTTATTATCTTTCGATGTACAGCACAAGAACTGTGCAAAATGCTTGATGTACAAATGTGAGGGGGTAGATCTCAACCCTATAGATTTTTAGCCTTTTCAAGGCACAAAGGGGAGTATGTGAGTCTTTGATATGGCATCAGGAGAACATTAACATTTGTTACATCACTTAAAATAAATACTCTTATTAGAGGAGTTAAGAGATGGTGCTATTATGTAAGGACTCACAAGTTCTTTTCCTTAGCATGTGAGTTCTCTTGAGTCTTTGAATAAATGCTTTTATTGCTATTAATTTTTGTTATGCACTTCTTTGGTAGAGCTCTGGCAAGAAGGAAGGGAGTTAGTGTTTGCCTTACTCTCTAACTAGTGATAGAAATGTAGCCGTGTTAGTCTGGGGTAGTTGAAGCAAAATGCAGGACAATGTAGCACTTTAAAGACTAACAAGATGGTTTATTAGATGATGAGCTTTCGTGGGCCAGACCCACTTCCTCAGATCAAATAGTGGAAGAAAGTAGTCACAACCATATATACCAAAGGATACAATTAAAAAAAATGAATGAAAATGATGAAAAAAAATGATGAACAAATATGAAAAGGACAAATATTTGTTCATTTTTTTAAATTGTATCCTTTGGTATATATGGTTGTGACTACTTTCTTCCACTATTTGATCTGAGGAAGTGGGTCTGGCCCACGAAAGCTCATCATCTAATAAACCATCTTGTTAGTCTTTAAAGTGCTACATTGTCCTGCATTTTGCGTCTCTAACTAGTGTCATTTTTTAAGCTATGTTTTTCCCTAGGAACAGGACATTAGTAATAGGGCTGAGGTCCCTGAAAGAAGGGATTGCCAGTGTGCTGTTTGTGATCACCCGTGGTTAAGGACTAGAGCATACAGAGAAAAATAAATAAGTTGTATACCCTTCACATAACTGATTTTCTAGTGGAGAAGAAACTAACCTGCAAGACTGTGACCTCTGTTACCATTCAGCACAGGGACAACAATATAATTGAAAATCAGCCCATAAAATGGAGCTTGCTTCTGAAAGACATGGAAATCCTACTTGGCTTCTGAAAGAGATAGGAGGCCTTGAATTACATTTCCTTATTCATATACACATTTACTTGTCATTGTGCCAGGTCTTAAGCTGGGTCTGTACTTAAGAGCTACAGAGTGGCAGTAAATGGAACTGAGAAGAATACTCATTTTGGGATCACTGTATTCTTGTGTGCTCCTAGATTTTGGTTTAGGGCACCAACTCCATGGATGAAGCCATGTTTGTAATAAGCGATGTTCTTTGGAAATCAATATCAATTGCTGGAGGGACTCTGATTTGGATGGGAGAGAAGCAAAGACAAAGTAGCTGCCTTCACCTGTATGCTCTGCTGGCTCAAATGGCCACTTTTAGGGAATAGGTTGGGCAAGAGTCTAAACTAAACAATGCATATTACACCTTACTGCCCAAGGCTCCATTAACATTGTTTTATTTGAACCTAATTATTGTCAACATCTGTTACAGTTGTTTCAGTGGCAATATTTACATTGAATAATACAGAGGAGAGGACAGAGACTTGTGATATTCCACAATAAGAGGGTTGTGGAGGTAGAGGGACAGTTGTCTATGAGGAAGGCCCTGAGCCATTTAAGGATGTGTTTCTTCACTCATACAATTTCTTAGGCAGGTCTTTGGTGATTGATGGTATCAAATGCTATAGAAAGATACACTTACTTCCCTTATATATAGTCATGAGGCTATCAACACATACTGGCTCAATACAAGGTACTTAAAAGAATCCCGATATTTAAATCCCGGGCTTCATTTGCAAGTTCAAATGCCTACATTAGCCACCCTAGTTCAAACTAGGGTGGCAGTGTAGACATACCCTAGCATAGCAGCAGCAAGCCAAGATCCATCTTGTTTAAGACAACTTCCTATTTCTCCTCCTGGCTTAAATAATGCACTGGCCCAATCAGGTGGTGGGTGGTATCTTTAATAGCGTGTAAGACCTTAGGTCTTCCAAACCTCTAGTCAGTAGTAGAGCTGTCAGGGAACAGTGTGGATGCAGCAACAACCCAAGGGGTCTGGTTCAGGAGCTGCAGACTTTCATTCTCCATTGATAGAGGTCAGGTGAGCTCTGTTCTCTTTTATTTGCCAGGAAGGGCAGAGGCAGCAACCCTGATTGCTATCAGTTGCTCCAAGGACTACTTTTTGTGTGAAAGGGCCCCCAATGTAATCCTATTGAGTTAAGTAAGGATGTGCTGGATTGGGCTCTTCTTTAAGATCCAAGATTTCTCTGGCTGAAGAAATGATGTTTTACAATCCGTGCCTCCCACTATGATTGGAATGCTTAATCCCTAATACAGTAAGGATTGCTTTAGAGAAGTTTTGTGCCAATAGCCAAAAGCTTTTCAGCTATATAATTCCCATACATGTTGTAAAGTTGTCTCCTTGGCACTATTTAAATAAACTGAAAAATATTTAAGGAACAAAGTTGGGTAACACCTTAACTTAAAGTTCCATTATTAAATGGCCTATTAATATCTATTAAATGATTGCCAGATGGCACCATGCTCTTTCATAACTTATTACATATCATCTTATAACAATACACATTATTAATACATTAAATTCTGAACAAATAATACAATTACAAGTTATTACAAATAGTACTTATTCCCAACAAATAGTTATGAAACAGGCATTTACTCTGTTTAACAATGATTTCAGTATATTCAAAAGCGTGTTATAAAATGTCAGGTACTTTGATAAATCAAACAGCAAATTGTTATTATTATAAATGTATATTTAAATGGGCCCTTAATCCATGTTCTTTTGTGTTGCTCCCAAATGTGGCAAGCAATTTTCTATAGGACTTGCTGGGAATGATACTGTAATCATAATCCTTAATATTGTTTCTTTAATTTAACTGAAGTTGATTCAAGTTTGTTCTACTGGCAACCCCCTTAAAAGTGCTTATTTTTAAGTTGAGTCATATTGTTTATTAGAAACAAGACAAGATGTAAAGATGCCCAGCATGGAAAAAGGCTGCTTTGTTCCTGCAGATCACATGGCTGATCTGGATCTGGGTAAAAAAATTAAGAGGAAGGTGGATAGAAGAAGTTTTGCTAGGGGGAGAGAGCATGTGTTCTTTACTCCTACTTGGATGAAGCTAGAATGGCCTCTGTTTGAACTGCTTTGTTCTGATTTGGAATTTGTATTTTTGAAAATAAAGCAAGCCCCAAGGGAGAGAATTTGAAGAGACCTGCTGCTGAGACTCAATTTTGTCTTCCTTGGCTGGTAAGTGTCCACTTCACTTACAAGGAAAATTTAAAAATCTTTGTCTTTGACAGAAGTGGCTAGGTTTCATATTTCACATTACACTCTTTAATGTTCTGTGTAATATTGCTAGAAATGAACCAACTTACTGGTGAGATTCTTTTGGTTTGCCATTGTGTATTATTGAACCCAGAAGGTTTAAAATGAGTAGCTTTTATATCAGGTCTTCTACATGTTTACTAAAAATGAGTGCTTTTCGAAAAGTGCTTTTGTTATTGAAATGTAAGTGTAGATACAGTAGGGCCATAAAATTGTGATATGCAGTTCACATGATTATTCCCTCATGCCAAAAGATGACAGCCAACTTCTTTCACTACTTACATAGTTTTACCTCAGTGCTTCATACTGTGCTTTTTGCATATAAAATTAATTATTTGGGAATGAAACCTGTTTCTGTTCTTCTGAATACAACTGCTATGCCCCTGAGGGCCTCAGGAAATTAATGGAATACCTGATGTATTTTGCAAGAGTTAGGGTTAAAGCTCAAGGGTTTGGTTCTGATCTCACATACAATGGTGTACCTTAATTGACATCAGTGGAGTTTTTCTCTATTTGTACTAGTGTAGGATCAGAATTGAACATTATGGATGAGATTTTCACACATGCTCTGCATAGGTTTCACTCTACCAGATAAGTCAAGTGGAACAGTTAGAACATTGAACATTTCTGGAAAAAAGCCACCCTGTATTTGTCAGCCCAAATACTGACCTTATTTACAACCCCACAACCTCATTGAAGTCAACATAAAGGTAAGTGGCTATCAGAAACAGGAGGGCAGAAGTATATAATTCCTTGAGGGAGCGGTTTCTAACCTATTCCATTAGAGCTCCTTTGAAGTCAATTGACGTATGCACGCCGTCCCTTCCTCATCTTGTTTCATTGTTGTGCTATACCAGCACATTCTCATATGTTCTTGTTTCCTTTCTCAGGTCCTTTGCTTTTTTCCCTGTTCTTTTTCCTTTTCTCTTTTTTCTCATCTTTTGCTTTCCTGCATATCTTTCTCTTGACTTGTGGGCTCTTATTTGCCATTTCTGAGAGAGCTGCAAGAAACTCAGTATGGGCAGGGAGCATCTATTGGTGGTATACACCCATCAGATGTGGTGGTGGGGTGATATAAACAGAAAATAATTTATAAGATCGGGTTAGAAGTCTCTCTTTAGCACCTCAGCCTTGTACACACGAGCTGCCCCTGCTACCATCTGAAGAAGAAGAAGCCACAAGTCTGGAGAAGGAAGGAGGGTGATTTTCAAAGATCTGTCGAACATTTTATCCACATTTGTACATTTTCCTTGGGTGTGAGATGGATATTAAGTAATGTAACTTTCTGTATATCCATTGTTGCTCAATTTGGGCCAACTATCCTGGGGCTACTCTGGTGTCTTCCTGGACAGTCAGCCCAACAAGTTGGGTAACATTGCTTTGGGAACTTTCCTCTTCCTGTGAATGTGTATGGACCTAGTTTCAGTCCTCTTAAATGAAGAAAAATACTTTAAAAATCCCTTTGAGCTTTCTGCTGAATTAGTTGATCTGGCATGGGGCTGACTCCTATAAAATGCTTGGAAAGTCATTACAAATCTTTGTTCTTTGAGAGGGGTAAATTCATACCATAGCACTGACAACATTTCAGTCTTACAGCCCAAGGTCTGTAGTTAGATACATGATACACATTGCTGTGTGTCTTGAAATAGCCACTCTGGATGCATGTGTGGTCAGGTAAAGGATGGGATTTTTCTTATAGTGTGGTTGTGGAAATGTACACCAACAAACCTGTGTTTTTAATCAGGCTTTGACAGAAGTTGGGAGTTCATACAGAATCTGTTACATTGCTTAGGTGCTACATACTTACAATGATAAACACTTGTATGGAGATTATTAGTTTACTTAATCCTAGAACAAATAGGATGTAAATGTAGACCCTCTTATTAAGAATTTATGAGGCACATGCCTTCTATATTTGGAGGCCTCTCTTCTCCAAGAAGATGTCATGCTTTGGAACATGTGTGCAGTGTAATTGCTAATATTTACAAGAGTGGTTACAGATGTATGTATTAAAGTAGAAGTCTTGCTAATTCAAGACATACTAAGGACTAGTTTGTGTCATAAAACCAGCTTGAAGATGGTGATTGTGCAACAATGCTGAAGAAGCCACAATTCCCTCTCTTGCACCAGAAGAGGAGTAATCTGTTTGGCCTATAGCTTCTGCAAATTAATACCACCTATGTTGGCCCTTGCACGGATTCAGCAGCATTGGCCAGTGTGTTAGAGGGAAGATCTGAGGCCTCACCCATTCCTCAAGCCTTGCCTCCCAGCTGCCCCCATGGGGAATAAATGATTGCATCTCTTTGCCAAGACCAGACAAAAGGCTTTTTGTTCATGTCTTATATCTGGTGAAACATTAGCTTCAAAGGTACTTTGGCTACCAGTTTAATGCTGAGAAAAGGTGTCAGATTGAAAGCAAAGAAATAGACAAATCAGATTTTTTTTCTGCTTTAATATAAAGTGTAAAATTGGCTCAGTGAATTTGGAAGTAAGTTGTCATAGAACTGAAACAAAAAAGGGAGTGGACTACTTCTAATGGCAGGGTGTGACCGTTTTAAATACCTGTTCCAGTAAAAACGGGGCTACTATTTTAGACTGTCTTATTTATAAACCAAGCTTGTGTAAGAAATATAAAGTCATTTGTATGAGAAATATTACCAAACCCTATATGCTTACCCATATGATAGTCTTACTGAAGGCCATAGAACTATTCGTGAGTAAGATCATTAGGATTTTGTCTTGTTTGCATTTTGTTTGTCTGCATTGATTTTAAATTCAGTTGGTAGCCTTCTTTTTCTATTAAAAAAAAAGTTTTAATGGCATCAACACAAAAAAACCATACCCACTGTTGACTTTAATAAAACATACTAGGAGACAACAAAGTCCTTTGAGAAAATTGCAGCATTTTTCCTCCTGAAATAATTTCATTACCTTTTTCTATGGAAATCTTGAGGAAGAGGAATGAGATTCTGACTCAAAGCTGCAAAAGAGGTTGGATGTTTGTGTGATTCTGCTTCCCATGATAATTTTAAAACAAAAGTTCTGCTTTCCATTTTAGGATAGCTGATTACTAGATGTGCTGTGGAGTCTAGCTGAGAACACTTGGCTTTGCTTTGGCCTAGAGTGATGGCATGCAGCCTGTTTCAATGATGAATGTGCAGAACATTCAGCTTTGTAAAACTCCAGTCTCTAAGGAGCAGTCTTTCCATATCTGACATTTATAAAGGACACCTGTGCAGTGTCTGACTTCTACACAAATCTCCACATTTATCATTTCTATCTGCATCTAGCTGTGCAACACAATTATAGCAATAAAAAAAGCAGTTCTCTCATTAGAAATACAAGAGTTTCAAGGTTTTGGCTTTTAGTCCTGGAACATCTGTTGCACAGCATGAACTTTTGGTCAATGTCTTCATTTAATTCACTGAAAGAGACTGTCCCAAAGTTAGGGTTTTTTGCCCCCCTCCCTTAGCGAAAGGTGAAAATCAGAGGTGCCAACAATGTCACAAGCTAAAGCTAGAAAAACAAAATAAAATTCCCTGATTATTTTGAAAATATTGCTTGATAGAAAAAGCAGTTTTATTTATCTTTATTCATTTAATCAACTCGACACTGAGTGTCACTAAGGAGGTGTTTCTGTGTGTGACAGAGTGGGCAATGTATCAAAGATCAAAGTTAACTCAGATTCTCAGCATTCTTTAGATGCCTAGGCAGACATGTATTATGCATTTTTATATATATGCATTTTATAAAATATGCACCCAGGCTAAGTATCTAAGCAGATGTCCTAAATTTTATATATCAGGTGAGTTTTTGAACCAATGTGTCAAAAAACTGCAAGACTTGTTCCCTAAAATTTCGTCAGTTTGGTCCACTTAGTCCACCCACATTCTATCTCCAGTGTATTTTATAGTATAATCCAGTGTGTTTTATAGTATAGATATACAGTGATCCATAAAGCTATATATTTAGGGCTGCATTGTGGCTAGCCCATAGTGGATGCACAAAAGTGGGCAAATGGTTGAAAACTGTGTTCTCTCCATTTAGGTCCCTGACCTGGTGAAGCCATGCTTACTGCTGATACTATCCAAAATCTGTGGAGTGGGTGTAGGTCCCATCTCCTTCACAGGCCTACAGAACTTGATTGGTGTGATGAGGAGCACATGCTGCTCCCTGATTAAAAAGGGGGTGTTTTCACTCTCATGTATGTTCCCACCCCTCCACTCCCCAAACCCTACAAGAATTCTGGTTTAGTCAGTACAACTCAAGCCTGCTAAAGCAGCCACATTCAGAACCCTGGTTGAACAACCAACAGAAATGAAAGCTGGAACCCTGAAGGAGGGTAGATGGTATTTGTACAATCACCTCCCTCCTCTTACAAAGAATCCCCACACCTATGCCTGGACTTGGACTTTTGCTGAAGCCGAACCATATTGTGTAAAGGCAAAGTGATTCTGGCTCAATCTTCAAAGGGTTAAAATTTGAGCTGGACTAAATATCTTTATATGTTGGTGTCTGGGTTGGGAAGTGGGAATTCACATCCGTATCTCTAGGTAGAAAGTTGTGTGCTATTTTTTTAAATATATATTCTAGAGCACTGGGACACTCTTCATTGGTAGCAGGTTTAGTTGCAGACACTTAAAGGAGTTTGGATCCAGCTGAGCCAGAGTGCACATGCTATTTATTCCTGTTGATACTGAGTTAGGATTTCAACATACTCATTAGTGCCTTCTGTGATCCCGTGGGAGTTCCAGAGTTCTGGTGACTTTAGCACAAATGTACAGTCAACATCCTTAGGCTACTCAGCCATGTTAAAGAAGAAAATATTGTTCTTGTGATTTTTTATTTGTTTTGTTTTGTTCTGAGCTGGATTCAAAACAAGAATTAAAGTTAAAAAGTTCAGACGTGAAAGGAATCTCCTG